TGAAGTTTGAAACCCATCCCCTTGGGCAAATTGCTTCACCCTTCCATTTGCCTCAGTTTCCTCATATGTAAAATGAGATGGTAATGGGGCTTACCTCCATTGGCTGTAGTGAAAGAAAGAGTGTCTGCAGAGAGGGCTCAAGAGTGCCTGGTTTATAGGTAGGCGCTGTGTGTTAACAGTTAGGTTGCCGTTACTGTTACTACTATTACTGTTAATGTAGCTTTTTTTTTTTTTAAACTTTGTAATTTATTTCTTGTTCTTAAGAATATATACCAGTTCAACAGTTTCTACATGTACATAATGCAGGGACATTGATTACATTCTCTGAATTGTGCAACTGTTCTCACCCTCCTTTTCCGAATTGTTCTCCCCCTTTAACATAAACTCACTGCCCCATATGGTTCCTATCTAATCTTTATAGTTGCTGTTGTCAATTTGTTCCCATATAGTTCTTAAAAGAGCACAGTACTCAAGGCAGACATTCTTTACTAGTCAAGTTAAACTATTTAGTTTTAAGAAGACTTTAGGGGATTTTTTTTTTTTTTTATTGTACTTCGGGTGGAGGCTTACAGAACAAATAGTTTCTCATCAAACAGTAGTACACATATTGTTTTATGACATTGGTTAACAACCCCACAAGTTGTCCCTTTTCTTTCTTGTCCTTTTTTTTTTCTTTTTGGTGAAAATACACATAGCCAAAGATATACCATTTCAAAAATTTCTACATGCACAGTTCAGTGACACTGACTACGCTCTTCCAATTGTTCTGCTATTCTCACTTAAGATGAAGGCTTACAGAACAAAATAGTTTCTCATTTAACAGTTAGTACACATGTTGCCCTATGACAATGGTTAACAATCTCACAACACATCAACAATATCCTTACTCAACCTTGGGTTCCCTATCACCCGCTTCCTTGTCGCCTTCTGGCCCTTGTCACTGGACTACTGTACCTCGTTAGTCTCATTTGGTTTTACAGGGCTGTCCACTCCCAGGCTGAACGGTGAACCTTGAAGATAACTTCACCACTGAGCTAAAAGGGTGTCTGGGGGCCATACTCTCGGGGTTTCTCCAGTCTCCTTCAGGCCAGTAAATCTGGTCTTTTTTTTGTGAGTTAGAATTATGTTCTACATCCTTCTCCAGCTCTGTCCAGAACCCTCTGTTGTGATCCTAGTCAGAGCAGTCAGTGGTGGTAGCTGGGCACCATCTAGCTGTACTGGACTCAGTCCAGTGGAGGCCTTGGTAGCTGTGGACAATTAGTCCTTCGGACTAATCTTTTCCTTGTATCCTGTTCTCTTCATTCTCCCTTGCTCCCGAAGGGATGAGACCGGTGGAGTATTAGATGGCTGCTCACAGGCTTTTAAGACCCCAGACACTACTCACCAAGGTAGAATGTAGAGCATTGTCTTTATAAGCTGTGTCATGCCAATTGAGCTAGATGTTCTTTAGGGGGTATTTTTGATTTAAGGTTTAAAGATTATCTCAGGGTAGTAGTTTCAGGGATTCATTCAGCCTCCATGGCTCCAGAAAGACTGGCTTCCATGAGAATTTGAAATTCTGTTCTGCATTTTCCCCTTTTTGATCAGGATTCTTCTACAGAATCTTGGATCAAAATGTTCAGTAATGATAGCCAGGCACCATCCAGTTCTGTTCTCGTGGCAAAGGAGGCAGCTGTTCTCGGAGGCAATTAGCCACACATTCCATTTCCTCCTCCTGTTTCTCACTGCCTCCTTTTTCTGTTGCTTTAGGTGAATAGAAACCAATTGTTGTAGCTTGGATGGCCACTTACAAGCTTTTAGGACCCCAGGCACTACTCCTTGAACTAGGAGGTAGAACAGAAGCATTAAACACGATTTTAGGCCAGTTAACTGGGATGTCCCATGAAATGATGACCCTAAACCTCCAAACCAAGAAAGCAAAACCTGTGAGGTATTTGGTTGTGCATGAACAGACTCAGCAGCTGCTCTTTTACCAATTCAGCTTTCTACAGGTGTATGACTTAGTGACAGCAATTCATTAATCAGTAACCCTACCCTTAATGCGATTTTTCCATCACTGTAAACCGAAGCTCAGTACTCCATGAACAATAAAGGCCCCTCTTTCCTCCTTCCTTCTGCTCCTGGTAACCATTTTTGCCAGATCCTTGCCTTTCCTTGTCTTTTTATATAAGTGAGGTCATACAATAATGTAACTATTATTAACTCTTCCCTGCTCTGGGATTATGTTTAATTTGTAAAACTTCATGCCCTGTTTTCTCTTCTTAATTTGCTCACCTTTTGGCATTTTCTGCCACTGTCCTAATGAGTGCCCTACCCCCTAAAAAAGATAAAGGAAAAGGAAAAAAAATTACAGATTTTTCCTGCTTTACTAGATATTTCAAACATATTCAAAAGTAGAAAAGATATAAGGAAGTATTTTTAAAGGTGAAAAAAATAAAATGCCATTTAAGGTGTGAAAAGTAGAAACTGCAAGCCTATTGCCATGACATAACTTTTTTCATAATTTTTTTAGAATGTTTTTTAAGTATGCTGTTCTTGTGATACTAATGTAACAAAACGTTTGCCATTTCAGTATTCTTCACATGTACAGTTCAGTGACACTAAATTATTATCATGTTGTTCAACCATCACCTTTATACATTCCCAGATTTTTCCATCGTCCTTAACAGAAGCTCAGTGTCCCACAAGACATGTTGTTGTTGTTATTGTTAGATGCCATTGAGTCACTTCCAACTCATAGCAACCCTGTGTACAGTAGAATGAAATACTGCCTGGTCCTGTGCCAGCCTCAAAGTTGTTGCTGTGTTTGAGCCCATTGTTGGCAACCCCTGTGTCATTCTATCTTGTTGAGGGTCTTTCTCTTTTTCACTGACCCTCCACTTTACCATCATGCTTCTCCGGGGACTGGTCCCTCTTAATAACATGTCCAAAGTACACGAGACGAAGTCTTGCGCCATTTTCGCTTCTAAGGAGCATTGCGGCCGTACTTCTTCCAAGACAGATTTGTTCATTCTTTTGACAGTCCATGGTGTATTCAGTATTCTTCACCAACAACGTAATTCAAATGCCTCCATTCTTCTTTGGTCTTCCTTCAAACACCTCCATTCTTCTTTGGTCTTCTTTAATGAAGACCAGCTTCCTTCCAGCTTTCGCATGCATATGAGGCGACTGAAAACACCATGGCTTGAGTCAGGCACACCTTAGTCCTAAAGGTGACATCTTTGCTTCTTAACACTTTAAAGAGGTCTTTTGCAGCAGATTTACCCAGTGGAATATGTTGTTTGATTTCTTGACTACTGCTTCCATGGGCGTTGATTGTGGATCCAAGTAAAATGAAATCCTTGACAACTTCGATCTTTTCTCCATTTATCATGATGTTACTTTTTGGTCCAGTTGTGAGAATTTTTGTTTTCTTGATGTTGAGGTGTAATCCACATTGAAGGCTGTAGTCTTTGATCTGTCTTCATCAGTAAGTGCTTCAAGTCTTCGCTTTCAGCAAGCAAGATTGTATCATCTGCATATCACAGGTTGTTAATGAGTCTTTTTCTAATCCTGATGCACATTCTTCTTCATATAGTCCAGTTTCTCAGATTATTTGTTCAGCATATAGATCGAATAAGTATGGTGAAAGCATACAACCCTTGACACACACCTTTCCTGATTTTAAACCATACAGTATCCCATTGTTCTGTTCGAATGACTGCCTCTTTGTCTATGTACATGTTCCACATGAGCACAATTAAGTGTTCTGGATTCCCATTCTTCGCAATGTTATCCATAATTTGTTATGATCCACACAGTCGAATAATAGTAAAACACAGGTAAACATCTTTTGTGGTATGCTTTCAACCACGATGCATTTCACATCAGCATTGATATCCCTCATTCCATGTTGTCTTCTGAATCTGGCTTTTTTTTTTTTTTTTTTTTAACTTTTTTAAGTATTCTTATGTATACGTACTGAACATAGTTGTAAATCTAGAGAACATACAACTTTATGGTCTTTCTCCAACCTAGCATTAGAGTATAAGCATTTCTCTCTGTTCTTTAAAGCCAAAACAAATAAAAAATTAGAGTAGTTTTTCATACTATTATACATCAGCATCCCCTCGAGAAGCCGAACGTTTTCTATAAAACATGAAGTGTGTGCAGAGGAACTAGAGTACAGCGAGACACAGAGCACCAGAGTCCCACGGTTCACAGCTGTGGAACAGCAGAGGGAAGTTACAGTGCCTCTGAAGTTCCGGGAAAGTGGGGTTCTCTTACACCCAGGTATTCAGGGCATGCTTCCTTAATAAAACCCGGTGTGGCTGCAGGCTTTTTGTTGGTTTTGCTCTCGTGTGTGGGGATGTCTCCTGGTGTACCAGGCACCTTGTACTGAATCTGGCAAGAAGGCAGTTAATAAATGTTGATTAAAATGCTTATTAATAAATGCAGGATGTTGATACTTAGCTGTGTTATGATTATTTACAGTTTTTAAGTTGTCCAAATAGTCTCTTACCTTCATGATCCAAAATAATTGGGAGAAAAAAAAAAAGTCATATTTGCCTCCATTAGAAGTTACGAGGATTGAATTTTCAAGTCCTGTAAAAGTGTGTTCAGTTCCTGTAAGATCTGGGGCTTGAATACTTTTCACAATGGGAGTTTTGAAAGCTGTAGAAAAGAGCTATGCTAAATTAACTGACTGCCTATTTCTAGGAATGTAGAGTGCTAGCAAATGTTGGGCACACATTTTAATTAAAAAAGGAAGATGGAATTAGATAATGTGAATACCAGGTACATCTTTAGTTCTTCAAATTAAAATTTAAAAATTAGTATTGAAAGGAATACGTAATATAGGTCACATGTAATGAAGCAGACTTTTAATGGGAAAACATTTGTGCATATGTGTTAAAAATTTTCAAAGGTAGGAAGTTTTAACTACTGAATTCAAGTGAAATACAGATTTCAGGTGCACTTGCTTGTTCCATGCATGACGTGTTTCTGTTTGTTTTTTTCAGATCTTACCAATATATTTGAGTCCTTCCTGCCCCAGTTGTTGGCCTATCCTAACCCCATAGACCCTCTCAATGGTGACGCTGCAGCCATGTACCTCCACCGACCAGAAGAATACAAGCAGAAAATTAAAGGTAAGAAGGCGCATAGTACACTTGGAGACAGAAGAACTTAAATCTCTTGGGGTTTGGTCATTAAAAGCCCTTCTGAAGTCCCTAGTCATTTCTTTTCAGACATAAAAAGAGTGTGTAGTCTGGAACAGAGCTCACTAGTCTCTGTAGTTCCAGGGGTCCTGGCTATGGCTCAGAGATGTCCTTAGAAGGCCAGGGGTGCAGGCAAGAAAGCAGGAAAGGAGTGAGAGAACGAGCAAAAGGAAAGATGAGGAAGTGGGGAGGCTCACCTGCTGGGTAGTAATAGTAATAGATGTAATCCTGTCAGTAATCCCTGGGGACACCCAGACAAAAGAGCCTCTGCCTTGCTTTGCTTCCTCTTGTCTTGTAAAATTAGAAAATTGGATTTGAGAGTAAAGCATTAATTGAAAGACATAGTCTCACATTTGTTTACAGATAAGAATTATCTTGGCCTTTCAGGAAAGCAGTTAACTTTTGTCATTATGTAATTGCTGAGTTCATTTAGAGTTTCTTACTATTTCATTTTACCTATTAAAAATGCCCAACTAGCTTCTTTTCTTACTCCCCTAACTGATTGCTTCTCACTATGGGAAGTTCTCATCCACCCATGCTTCTTCTGTACTACAGATAGCTAGTCCTGGTACGATATGGTCTTTCTATTAAAACTCTAAATGTGCTATTAAAACTAGAAATGTGCTAGTGGTGGTAGCACTAGTTTGCTCATCCTTTAGTACCTAGAATCTTATTTTCCCAATCATAAACAATTTACATATTAATAGGACATGAATTTCATTAACATGAAAATAATGTTGAAAAAGAACGTCCCAAATGCCACACCGGTTTACTGGTGTTTCTCATGTCCTTTCTACTTCCATGTACGTTGGGGAACTTTCATAATAAAAAATCCAGATACATAAAGCTCCACCAAAAAGGGAAGAAACTCAAAGTCCATGAAAACTAGACTTCTGCTTCTGAACAAATCCTACCCAGTGTTTAACTTGACTTGCCCATCTGCAAAGCAGCCCACAGCACTGGGGTCCACGGGACGTGTGGGCCCTGTAAGAACATGTGCACAAGATGGCAGTAGGAGTAATTTACCAGAGGTTGAATATATAAATCTTCCTTCTTAACCATCCAGGTATAAGACAAACAGAAGCATCTGGAGCTTTTTGTACTCAAGAGTTTCCCTTCTGTTTATTTTCTCATTCTTTCCAGGTCTCTATATGGTATTGTTTGAAGCTTTTGTTGAGGTAAAGTAGAGATACATCTAGTCTAATTAATTTACTTAGGTTTCAAGTGTTTTGCAAATTAATATCTAATTTATGTAGCATAATATCTACATAACTAAGGAAACACATATTTTAAGAAAAAGTCAGTCGGTTTCAACCAGATAAAATTCTGTTACAAGAATATATTCCTTTTGACATAGGAGTCACTTAACAAATTCCTATGGTTCTCATACGCATTGTGCCTCAGCAGTTCAACACTAGCCTCCGTTTTTATCTCAGAATGGCTGCTGTCTCGTAGGGAGCCCATCACTTTCTGAAATGTGAATGTCGCCTATCATTTTGTCTTTTGAGTAATCTGAGAGAATCATGGCCATCAGACCTGAGCTCACCCTCCTTCCCACCTTGGCTTTATGTTTCTGTTTTTGTTTTCTCTCTTACCCATCTTTTCTTTGTTCCTTTTGGCAGGAAGTAAGAGGTGTCCCCCCTTATTTCCAAGAATCACTCCTCCACCAACCTGTGGTCTTCTTCCCCCCATTACCGCATTCACCTCACTTGACTTTCTGTCTTCCTCCTCCTCTGGTTGTCTCTGTGCCTGTTACCTGCCCCTGTAGGCCCAGGCTAATCATTTCCTTTCTCTTTCGAACCTTGGCTGCTCATCTTAAACTACTGAAGTCTCGTTTGTTTCCCCTCCCCTCCTGAATCTGTCACCTATGTCTTCCAAATCCTTCGGTACCTTCCCAAGGCCCATTTTCCTGGGCCTTTCTGTAGCTTTGGTATCTTACCCCCTGCCTTTCTGCAAACTTTTCTCACTCTGTTTCCTAATTGTGACCATTCCCTTGACACCGCAGCCTTAGACTTCCTCCCCATCCCTCAGAGGCGCATTCATCTCTCACAGCTTTAGCTCGTCCTTCCGGGGAGCTGATTTCCACAAGCCTGTCTCCAGGCTTGCCCCTCCCCCAGCCTGCCTCCTCGATGTTGCCGTTTGCAGGGCCGGTCACCACAGCTCAGGCACACCCGTCCCTGGCTTACCTGAACATCAGTCGGCACGCATGTTTAGCCGGTGCTGGTTTATCTCGCATGTTTAGAATGCCATATCTGGAGGCCTGTAGAACTGGGCACCGTTGGAGCTGTCTAACAATATGTTATTTCCCTGCCCTAAAACCTTCACTGGGTAGCCTCTCAGCTGTAACTCAGGCTCTCTGGTATGGTGTTAAGGTCCATATTTTGCCTTCACACATGTAAGTGTGTCAGAACGTGACAGTCACATTAGATGAGTTTCAGATACTCAAGTCTGTTCCCTTCCTTTCTTAGGAAAAGTTTCTAGCCGACAGAAAACAAAGGATAAAACAACCATGTACCCACCATCCAACCGTAGCAAAGTCCTTACATTTTGCCTTATTTGCTTCAGATTTTTTAAAGTAATAAGTGTAGTTCTGTCTTAACTTGGTGTTTCAACATTCCCACCACTGCCTTCTCCACCTGTGCTTTTGGCAATGCTGCGCCTTTCCCCCAGTGCCTCTCCTGCATGGCAGCTAGCGGAACTCCTCCGAGGGCCAGTGCAGGCTGGGCGGCCTTCCTGCTGTCCCCTAGTGTCTCTTACATAGCCTGTCTTGTACAGGTAGTCCCCGACTTAAGACCGCTTCTGTCGTTACGACTCTGTTGTAAGTCAGTTCTGGCGTAAGTCGAGTACCTTTTTTTTTTTTTTTAATTTTCATTATTGTTGTTGTCAGATGCCATTGAGTCTGTTCCGATTCATAGCGACCCTGTGTACAACAGAACGAAACACTGCCCCGTCCTTAGCCTCCTCACAACCGTTGTTATACTCGAGCCTATTGTTGCAGCCACTGTGTCAGTCCATCTCCTCGAGGGTCTTCCTCTTTTTCACTGACCCTCTGCTCTACCAAGTATGATGTCCTTCTCCAGGGACTTATCCCTCCTGATAACATGTCCAAAGTATATGAGACAAAGTCTTGTCATCCTTACTTCTGAGGAGCATTCTGGCTGTACTTCTTTCAAGACAGATTTATTCATTTTTTTGGCAGTCCATGGTATATTCAGTATTCTTCACCAACACCATAATTCTGAGGTGTCAATTCTTCGGTCTTCCTCATTTGTTGTCCAGCTTTCACATGCTGTGAGTCGATTGAAAACACGATGGCCTGGGTCGGGCGTACCTTAGTCTTCAAGATGACGTCTTTGCTTCTTAACACTTTAAGAGGTCTTTTACAGCAGATTTGCCCAGTGCACTGCATTGTTTGATTTCTTGACTGCTGCTTCCATGGGCGTTGATTGTGGATCCAAGTAAAATGAAATCCTTGACAACTTCAATCTTTTCTCCGTTTATCATGATGATTATTATTGTCCTTTATTATCAATATCTTTATAAATCATAACATTGAACATCTGCGAGTAAACATCTGAAAATGATGGCATGAGCAAATTACATGCTGCAATGTTGTATGTAGTATATATCACTAATGATAAGATGGACCCAAAAAAAACCCAGATGGTCGTAAGTGCGGTTTGTCGTAACTCTACTCATTGTAAGTCGGGGCCTACTGTATCTTCATTGGTGCTTTTCCTCTTCATTTTTCAATCTCCTGAAAGGCCTTGTCCTAGTAAGCACTTTTTATATGTTTGTCTCCTTGAATATAATAAGTAAAGGCTAATGTATCAAGTGACAGTGTCAAAGAACAGCAGTTTCTCCAAAGAAGAAACAAAACAACCAACCCGCTAAATGGTAAAAATAAAATTTCTATGGCTTTAATAAACATTTCACTCACTCTACAAGGGAAATTAAGGTTCAGTTCCTACCTGTTTAAGGGCTTGTTTAATCTGATTATCTCAGAGTCAAATTTTGTTATAGTGAATTTGAAATAACTCTAAGTCAGAGTCAGTGGGCTCAAGCATAACGATTGTGAGGATGGTGCAGGACCGGGCAGTGTTTTGTTCTGTTGTACGTAGGGTCGCTGTGAATTGGAACCGACTCGACAGCACCTAACAACAAGTCAAGAGTCTACCATTTTTTCCTGTGAAGGGGCTGGCTTTGGCCACATAATGGTCTCTGTCTCTTCTTCCTCCTCTTCCTCCCCCACCTTTAAAAATGTAAAAACCATTCTTAGCTAGACCCCTGTTCTAAATGACTCAGATTTGGCAGGCCCATTCAGCCATTTCCCTTATCTTCCTTTTGCAGCCAGTCCTTGCAGCTCCATGGGAGAAAAAACAAAGCAGAGGACGTGAGGATATTTTTTCTCACACTTGCATTCTGAATAGGCTTCTAACAGTCTTATCTCTTCATGCTGTGTATAGGCTATTGATTTGGAAGCAGTATTCACTTAGAATTTTTAGGAACAAGTTTAGTGGTTTATTAAGCAGCTCTGAGCATTTTTTGCAGCCTGCAGATTCTGCCTAGGCTCTGGCAGCATAAACCCTCAGGTAAATAATTGGTCAAGCCACTTAGACTTCTGGTGTCTCCGTAGAGCAGCTCGTTCCTGAGCAGACTGAGAGACTGTTTCCACCAGCTGCTGCTTCAAACCCTGACAGGCGGGATCTGTTTAGACTAAACTCTATTTTTAAAATAATAGACTTGGGCTGACTGTAATTACATAACTGCAAATCTAAAAAGGATGAGAAATTTCCCTATAAATTACTACAGAGAAATTTCCTTATAAATTACTACAGAGTCATACATAGCTCTGTTCTATCTGGGAAGTGCGTGGTTTTATTAACATAGCCAGTAGAAAGTGTGGGGTTTACATGTCCCTAGTTCATTGAGTTTGGAGGTGTGCAGCCATATTGGGAAGTCACTAAGGAAAGCCTTGGACGTGGGTCCTGGATGGACACTGGGTCGGGGGCATTCTCACGTTCTGGCCCTCTGCCAGCTTTCCTGGGCCTTGCAGCCAAGACCCCTGGGATGGGGGCTTCGCTGCCCTGTGCACAGTTGCCTGCCCTGTCCACCTCAGGAGGTGATGGCCCGCGGGAGTTCTGGGGTGGTGATCAGTGTATTGCAGCCCCTGCCGTACACATCAAGTGTTCTGCTCTGCCCCTCTCAGTGATCCCCTTGGGCCCACACGCACAAACTCGGTTCCAAAGCTGTGTCCTTGTGGGGTCACCTTTACCTTGGTGCTCTCCCGGCACTTCAGGTAAGGCTGGGCCTGCCGGCATTTGGGTGGCCCCAGCACACGCCAGCCTCTCACTGTGCCCTTGTGTTTTCTTGGTCCCCTCGCCCCGCGCAGAGTATATTCAGAAATACGCAACGGAGGAGGCGCTGAAAGAGCAGGAGGAGGGCACCGGTGACAGCTCGTCGGAGAGTTCCATGTCTGACTTCTCAGAAGACGAGGCCCAGGATATGGAGTTGTAGTAGAAAATGCGCCTGCTTTTCAGAAAGACTATTATTTCCTAACCGTGAGAAGCAGACTATAATATTCATATTTAAACAAAGCAATTTTTTTTATTACTAAACAAGGTTTTTATGGATAATAGCATTGATATATATATATTATATATCACCCTTTAGATCGTGATTTATTGGTCATTTCTCAACCTGAGGTGCATAGCATATTCCCACATTCCATTTTGGTAGCAATATGCAGCCCGAATGCATGCATTCATAAGTCCATGGCCAAGGCTGCCTGTGCGCTCCTGAACCGTCAAAAGAAATAGCCGCTCTGATAGGTAGATGTGAGTAACCATCTTCTCTTATTGATGGTTCCAAAGAAACAAACCAAACCAACCAGCTCTTGGACGTGAAGATAGAATAGTGCTTTTTCCAAATGGAAAGGAACAGACTGGGGAGGGAAAAGGCCTTCGTGGAGCAGTGAGAGCCTGCCCGCAAGAGCCAGAGCCGCTCCTTCCTGTTAATCCTAGGTGGCCCCGTTTCTGTGGAGTAACAGTATACAACAGGGAGCTAATCGGAGTATTGAAACTTAAAACCATTTTTTTGACTCGGATTTTAAGTACATTTTTATATGTAGATTTCCTGCCCTTCAAGCTACCGGGCCCTGCAGCCACAGTGTTTTGCTTTGGAGAACCTTTTGAAAGTGTTTTCTGAACCTGATCCTTTTTCTTGGGGGTAGAGCTTATAATCCAGACCTTTTTTGAGAGGCCAGGACAGGAGGAGAAAAGTGACCAGGAAGATGCTTCCATTGACCTGAAACACAAGTCACAGCCTAATCCTACTGTTGGCCGGTGTGAGACTGCCATCTTGGAATAAGAGCTTTAAATGTAAGGGTTTTGGGGGGTGTGTGTGAACTGTGCTTAGGTTGCAAATGTAAAACAAGACAGGCTCCTCCTCGCACCCGCTGCTCGGTGGGCCACCAGGCCGGGAAGAAGACCTCTGTGGCTGTGGACCCTGGGTGCTCCCGTGCGTCTTTGTTTCTGTTTCCCTTCTGCCATTCGCCTGGCAGCAGCCTGGTCACTGTCTGCTTGTGGGAGTGGGAAATGGGTATTTTGACCCAAAACACATTTTAAATTGAAAATGAATAATAATTGGAACAAATAAAGGTTCTTAGACCCAAAGTGACTCTATGTGGGAAAAACAAACACAGCTTTATTCAGAGTATGACTGATAGGAAAGGGGGACTCAGAAATGTGATGTCATAGAACAGGTTTTGAAGGAAGGAAATTTTTTTTCTCCTGTGTATATGTCAAGAGGAAAATCAGACCGTTGAAAATGCCCACTAATCAAATGTGTACTCAGCTAACCATATGTCCAGGTTGCCGGCAGAGTCTCCTTCAAATCTGAGGGTCGCCTGCTGAATTTGAGGAGAACTCGGAGACGTATTCTTTTTTGCCACAACAGACAGGACAGAATTAGCCAATCCTAAAACCTCCTAAAGACAATTTTTGAATGTCCTGCTGGGATACTTTTTCTTTTTGGTGTGTGTTTTTAGTTTAGAAGTGCTATATTCCACAAGGTTTGAGTCAGTGAGGTTGGAGGATAACCCTATCTTTTTTTTTTTTTTTTTAATTCATAAAGCACAATCAGTCTTTTCTTTGAAAATCTATATAAAGTACAACTTGCTTTTAGCATGATTATTTTCCTAAATAAAAAGACAAATAATTTACTTATTTTATGTTAATTACGGGCATGAAGCAAAAGGTTTTCTTTAAAAAAAAAATAAAAGTGCAGTTATATAGGGCTGTGGTTAGTTCACGTACTGAGTTATCTATCTAGCATTTGTGGCTTGTTGGAAGGGTAGTATTAACTATTTAACATGTAATGGTGTACTTTAACTCTTATCTAGCACGTTGTCTTCTCATTACTTTGGGGGAGGGAGGGTCTCTGCTGGCACTGTCTAACCTGCTTACCTGCTGAATTAGCAGTTCGCTTGTGCTATAACCTTTATTGTAGGTGCTATTTAGGGTAGGCTTAAAGTACTGGGTGGTGATTTCAGTTCAAACAATAAAAAATTGTATTTTTTCAATATTGCATAAGCAATAGTGTTCTAATTACCTTTCAAAAAATAATGTCCCGGTAATAACTGCTTTTAATCTTGTCAAAAGCTAGTTGACGGATCTAGACCCAAGTGTAGGGCAGGCATGTGAGCGTGAGCAGTGACACGGCTCTGCTCCACGACCAGATCCCTAAGGAAACACAGCCTGCCTGCGTGGAGCTCCAGCACCAGACATCTGATGGTGCAGAATTCCCAAAAGGAAGACGTGTGGGAGAGTTCGCAGGGGTTAAGCACATCTGAGAGAGAGAGAGTGTGTATGTGTGTGTGTCCCTGTGGCTGTCCAGTTTCTCCTTAACATTGGAAGCTCCTGCAGTTGCTACCCAGATCACGTTATACCCCTTCATTCTGTGCAGACTTATCCTTCCTGGGCACTAACCTTGGTCCCATGCATGTTTTTGGCTGTGTGGGGCTTTTTCTCTCCATTGGGAACTTGACTTCGATAGGTGGACAGCATCCTACTTAGGCTAACCCTGACCCTTCCCTGCACCTGGGAGAGGTGGGAGTCAGAGACCATGCTTATAGTACAGAGGCAGCTGGAGGAAGGCCTGGCTTGTGAATCTGAGGACTGTCACCCAGCAATAGATGGTGGTGTCTGCCTCGGGCAGGGTGTGTTTCCAGGATTATTGGACCTTCCTAACACTCAGAAAAAGCATCTAGAGCCCTTTGGAAAAGCTGTACCTTCTCGGTTATAGAGGTTGTGGTCTGTCAGAGCTGCATCTAGCCGTTTCCAAGCCCTTTTCAGTACCCATAGTTTTTGAAGTCCTACCTTGTGGTTGACCAGCACAAGCCATTCTTTGCCCCTGTTTCAAATAACTGAGCTCAAACTCTCGCCAAACATCAACAAGCAAGATGGCCCCAGCAGAGCAGCATTTAATGGGCTCTCGGCTCACCCTGGGAGCCCCAGCACTGGGCCGTGTGGGTCGCCTTTAATGGTAGCCAACCTAGAAGCTGGCATCTTAGCTCTTTGGTACTGTGCAGTCTCAAGGAGCCTTTTATACTAGCAAGATGATTATCACAATTGCCATATCTTTCCCCGGTACCTTCTTCCGCTTCAAAAGCTGTTCTAGTTGCCAACTGGCTGATTTAAGCTCCCAAGGAGTGTCTCCTCTCAAAGGAATTTTCCCTCAAAAGACTCCCTGAAGCCCTAGTTGGCCTTAGACTGACACTTGCTTTTTATTAAGTCCTATGGTGGGGAGGTGGGCTGAGAATCATGGAAGATCTTCCACCAGCCTCCATGAGTGGCTTCCAGACACCACATTTCTGGGAACTAGTGTTTGATTTTAAAGGGTGTATGACTCTTCTGTGTCTTAGGGACTCAATTAGAAAAGTGAAGAACATTCACAAAATTTAGCAAGAATCTTCATCAACTTTCACAGCCTTGTTGACTGAAATCAAATCATTTCTGATTGCGTGCGAAGAAATGCATTTCTTAAGTCTTCTGAGTCTTCATATTTTCTCTGGCCACTGAACACCTTGGCAACTCCATCAGGGCCTGGATGGGTGGACGCCCCTGGGGGAAGGGCGAGCTAACAGCCCTCAGGTGTGCAGGCTCTCCACACACCTGAAGAGGGCCCAGGCTGACTCTTCAGCATATGCTGTTGGCTTGGGAAGAAATGGCCGTGATTAACTGATTGTGTTTGGTACATTGCGCGATACTTGAAGAGATAAAAGGGATTTATAAGTCCTTCATTGAAACCTAAGCTTTTTATCGCTTTTTTTCCTCACCCTTTCTCCTCCCTTCCACCTTTTTCCTTGCATTGTGATGATCTATCTAGTGGGCACTTCTGTCAACAGGACAAATGCCTCCTCTGGCTATAACCTCTTAATAGTTGTGTATAATGAAAACTGTAAACTTTTTTTTAAATAAAATGTATATATACCTTGGCAAGTGGCTGGACCTTGATCAATAAGATGATAATAGCCCCATAATTAAGCTCGTTTTTTAAAAAGATGCCCCCCGCCCCCTGCCCGCCCCCGTTCATGTGGCTTCTCTGAGCAGCAAACCTTGGCTCTTTTGACCAAAAGCTCTTACTTAGAAGGCAGATGATTGGATAGTTGGGGAAAGGACTGTCTCCCTTAGGCAGTATTACCTAAGAAGCCCTTCCCCCAGAGTCCTGGCCTCACCTGGAACTTCAGGTGACTGCTGGCTATTAACACAGGGCTGTAAGGCTTCTCCACTGGAGTCTTGACAAGCCCTAGGCCTGAAGTCCCCCTTGGCCCCCAGGTGGATCAGCCAGCGTGGCTTCCCTGTTGTTGATTTTTCTTTCCAGCTCAAACCTTCGAGACCCTGTCAATACCGTCAGCTAAGACCCACTTGGCCTGGAGTTCAGTTAGCCAAGTGCCGTCATCACCGGCAAGGGGCGTGCAGGTGTTGCACATCGGAAGCTGATCGCCGGGTTGGACCAGCTTTATGCAACGGCATTTCAGTTCCTTCTAAAACGTTTGCCCTAATGGCCACCAGATGGCGATGTTGACTAGTTAGTTTCTAATAGAAAATCGATCTGCATATTTGTGCTTGATTTTTAGAAGGCTTTTAAGACAGAAGGAATAGTTTTCCTTTGGACAAATATTCTCACTTCCCCAGCTCTTCACTGTTTTTTTCTTGCTCATTTTCCCCCAAACTCCTTTTTTTTTTTTCTTCACTGATGCATTCTCCAGTAGACCCAGCTTTATAAGGCCACCTGGGAATGAGGTACTAATGTCTGCCCCCCACCTCCACCCCGCAGCAAGGAGACCTTCAAGTTACCAGTGACTGATTCCAGTGCTTAGACACAAAACGTTCAACAGGTTTTCTGCAAATGGTCTTCAGTAACCCCTCAGCCAAGGGTGTAGTGGAACAAAGGACTGTACATCAGGGCTGTGAGTTCGCATCCCATACCTTCCCCTGATGAGCTGTGCAACCTGGAGTCTATTGCAGAGTTATCTGTAACATGAGGTCCCTAAACTAGTAGGTTCTGACTCTTGACACTTGGTTGACTCAGAACTCAGGCTCTGAGACAACACTATCACAGGATGTGGGATCCTGTGAGAAGATCCATATTAACCCATGACACACAAGGTGTCAGGATCAGAGGTTTCGAATTTTTAAACCCAAATAACTTGGGGAGTTTAGAGGACCCATTTTGCAGCTGAAAGGGAAATAAAGATACTGGTCACATGGACAGAGCCGTTGTCTGACCTCATGCAGGGCAGCCACCTTAAAAGCTGCCCCACGCGGAGTCTCAGGCTTGTGTCTCCCTCACCCCACCAGTAATCTCACCCAGCGTCACCCTCACCTGTTCAGTCTCCGTCTCGGCTGCTTTCTGAGTGGCAGGTGGGTCTCCCCAGCCTCCCTGAACATTGTCCCTTTTCCCGTAAGGGGGACCCAGTGTTTCAGAGGCATATTGTCCTGGGAAAGAGAGTAAGTATTGTGCCTAGAGCCCCAGGACTTTCCCTTGCCTTAAATTCTCTTGCATGTCTGAGGGCCAGGAATGTTGGCCTGCTCTCTGCCTCAGGGAATGAATGAGTTCCTGTGACACAGGGCCCTGGTGTTCCCTGCTTGCCACCTAAAACCAGGCCAAAGAGGACATTTATGACTCCCATATCCCCAGGACCTGCAGAGGCCCTGGAGCCACTGGAGGGGACAGATTGGGCAACTCAGGAGCCCAGGACGGTCCACCTTACTCCAAACACTGCTCCCCAGTGCCTCACGCTGCAGGGACTGTGCAAACGGAGCTTCTTGGAACTGAAGAGTTAGCCTGACCCAGGATTTAATGGTAGAGGTGAAGAGATAGGAGCATTTCTTCTCTGACTGTGTGTGTGTGTGCGCGTACATGTGTGTGCAGTGAAGATGTTTATTTTCAAAAAAGGGCTGCAAACTTCTTTGGGCTTGGGGTTCCTCAGAGCTCTTTGGGGTTCAAGACTTTACTTCTAGGACCTGGTGTCAAGCGGTGGGGGTGGCAGGAACAGACATGGACTCACTAAAGGGAAAAAAATCTACCCTTCTGGCTGCCCCATCATTGAGAATTAACCTCGAGAGGGGTCACCAGACAGGAGGTTTCTCTCATCCTCCCTCCCTGGAGTCCCTACACCTAAGGCAGCCAGCGCGAGTGCAAACAGCTCCCTTTGAGAAGCCCCACCCCCACCTTCCAGGCAGCCTCCGTGGTTCTCTTTTCGTCAGTTCTATAAGCAGTGAATCAAGTGCCTGTTCCAGTCCACCGATGCGCATGTAGAGGTGTGAAACCAAGCTTTCAAAAGATGCATTTCTACAGATTGCAAAAGAATTATGTGCAGTAAATCCACCTTCCAGAAGCATGTGGAAGTCTTGCATAATGCCTCCTCCAGAGATCACCATCATGGACTGGCCGAAGAGGGCTTCTCTCTTGACCAAATGCTTCCACTTGTGATCCTTACTGGCCCTGTTAGCCCTCCGTGAATAGACCAGGCCTTGGTCCCTTTTTACATTAACTCCCTGAGAGGCACCAAGTGACTTGGTCACACAGCTAGTGAGTGGCACAGGCAATGTTGGAACCTGGGTCTTTTCACCATAGATGAGTGTTCTTTCCATGAGCTCATGCTGTGTCAAGCCCTGTGCCCATCAATACACACCAGGGCTGTGGGTACATGTGTCTGTGTGAGCCTTCTCGTGCCATCTAGGGCCCCTACAAGATGCCTCCCATTTGTCCCTGTCAATGTGGCTGCCTTTTGGAGGGTCAAGGGCTTTTCCCACCACATCCCCATCTCCACCAATATCGGTGTCCCCAATCTCTGGAGTCTGCAATGAAGTCAGAGTAAAACTCAGATATAAACCTAGAACTAAGCCTATCCCCTGAGATCACCTTTTAGCAAAATAGCAGAGTAGCACACAAAATAAAGGATATTATCTATAAGATTGGTGCCCTACTTAAAAAGCAGTAGGAGACCAGAAGGTCAACAATTACTCAAAAGCAAAGATGAGAAGATAAGGGGGCAGGGAAACTAGAGTACTGGAA